AAGACAATGTTGATGTGGGATTCTTGTTGCTATGGAAACAGCATCAGCTGGGTGTGGTGGCTCATGCCTGGAATCCCAACTTCTCTTTCTATTAATTTGCCCAGAAAAACATTGCTGGAGGTGCATTGAGAGTGGCAGTCAATGACCAGGGCTTTGAAACTGGCTATAAAGGAGAAGGATGACTGAGAACACAGGGTGACTAAAGGCTTGGGAAGCTGAGGCAGGGGTATTTCCATGAGCACTTGCTGCTCTTGTAGAGGACCCAATTTTAGGTCATAGCTTGCAACCAACAATAACTCCAGCTCCAAAGAATGAGCCACCCTCTTCTGACCTCCACCTGTGCAGACATCCATATCACCACATGCACACAGAAATAAAACTAAAGTAAACCAGAAGGAGAGAGATGCAACCCAAGAGAATTGGTACAGAAAACATGAGCTCCATGAGCGAGCTAGAGCTGTATCCCTTTGGATGCCAGGTCAGATGTGAAGGAGTTGGTGTTTGTTTTGAGACCTCAAGGATTAGGGAATGTCAGTCACACAAAGAGCACAGGAAAGAGAGTTCTGGCAAATATATATGAGATAGGCATGCAGAAGTAACTTGCCTATTCAAAGAATTGAGAAACTGCCATTAAGAATAAAACTTCAAGGACAAGAGGAAAAGCCAAGTCACAGACTAACAAGTGATATCCTAAGACAGTGGGCACTGTGCTAGCCATGAACTATAAGAGCAGTTGAGACAGTTGGCACTGTGATAGCCCTGAACTATAGGAGCAGTTGAGACAGTGGGCACTGTGATAGCCCTGAACTATAAGAACAGTTGAGACAGTGGGCACTGTGATAGCCCTGAACTATAAGAACAGTTGAGACAGTGGGCACTGTGCTAGCCATGAACTATAAGAGCAGTTCAGACAGTGGGCATTGTGCTAGCCATGAACTATAAGAGCATAAGAGTGGTATGGAGGAACTAAATCCCGACTTTGTGGTATGGTAGTATTGTTCTTAAAAACAGACTCTGTGAATTTCATGGGACTTTCTAAGATGTGTACTCTTTCTGTCTCCCACAATATTGCTTGATTTCGAGGGGAACACAAGACACATTCTATTAGAAAGACTGGAGACACAAAGGGTGCAGCTTAGAGCCATGTGGAATATTTTTTCCAGCACCCAGAAAACTACTTAAGAAATTTATGCAAATAATCATCCTTGACCGGGGAGACAAGGTGGTGACTTGAGACCCTGTGTGGGTATCTTTGGGCATAAGCAGCTTTAGGTGCCCCAAATGTGCTAAAGAAGTGCAAGGCAAAGTAGCAAGTAGCGGAAATGAGGGGGAAGTTGGTGCTCTCGTGTTAGGAATCAAATTAGCAAACAACTAGACAAGGAATGAGCAATGCCTGAGAATTATAGGACTTAATCCTGTCATGTATTTAGAAGTATGGAAAGCATATTCTAAATATAAAAGTAACACAAAGATGCCTGATCTCCTGCAACAATGTGCTGCCCCCAAATCTTCCTAAACCAAATATCTGGGAGTTCTGTTTTGAGACTCCCTCTTTCCTTCATCCAATGATTATAGAAGAGATAAAAAACCAACCAGAATTTTCTTCTGAACTGATTTTTAAAAAATACCACCACCCCCTGTATGCTCCATACCTCTCCCACCCAAATCTCCTAAATGTCTAGATGATGATTTGAAGACACTTGGACTTTTTAATTAACCTAAACAGCCATGTTCATCTGCAAGGTGCATTATTGTTAATTAAAACTGTGATTCTCCTCGTGCCCAGACGGAGGACTGCTGTTGTCAGAATAATTAGATAGCATAGGATGGTTTTCATGCAAATTCCTGGCAATTAGAGTTGGCGATGAATTGGGTTTGAAATCCCAGTGAAGTTCTCAGTGAGAATTCCTTGGAGGCTGCAGAAGAAAGGTGTTGGGAGTCAGGGAAGGAGAGTAGAGGCATAGTGGCAGATGAAAGGATTTAGGAAACACACATTTGTTTCCTAAATCCTCTAGGGTGTGGGGCTGAGCCAGAAATGAGAGAATTATAAGCATCAATGCAATGTTCAAACTTTCCTCAAGAAAAAAGAAATCTCCCCTTATTGTAAATTGACCCTCCCCAGGGCTTTATGCATTCCCAGGAGCTTGTTTTCCTGACTCTCATCTTTTTGAGAGAAGTTTTTTTTTCCTTAGCCAGGAGGCCCAATAACTCATATGCAGCTAAAATCCCTGCCAACCCTTAGATTAAATTCTAAGGAAACAGGATTTGTATTCCTGAAGGGTTGCACAAAAGGTGCCAAATTCCCACCCAATTTAGAGTAGTTAGTGGTACCCATTGGGTTAAATGGGTTTGAATAGCGGATCCCCAAGGAAAACTTCGTGAGTTGGCTGAGGTCAGAGTTAGACATAAGGATGAACTGTCTAGCTGTAGTACACACAATGGCAGGGAAAGGGCAGTTCCAAAGGGCCTGGAGCAAGACAGCAAAGGTGGAGGAGGGGGATGAGGAGGAGATAACTTTAAATGTTCTTGTTTCTAACCCACTGTGACCTCTTATCAGTTGCTGGCTTCTGTTTCTGCCATGCCTTTGCAACAGATGTGATAGCTGTCAGCTATCACTAGGACTTTCTCAACCCCAACTGAGCTAGGAGGGGTATCTAGCTGGGAGTATAAGAACAAGGAAGAGCAGATAGCCCCAGAGGTGTTAGGTAAAGTTTCCCATGAGCATTGGATGACTCAAGGAGCCAAACAGTCTTACCACCCCTTAAACTAGGTCAGTCTCTAAATCCAGTCCCTTGTAATAGAGGAAAGCAACATCTGGAACTATTGCAAGAGCAGTTGGAGATGAGATTCTAGGGCTGTGTGTGTGTGTGTGTGTGTGTGTGTGTGTGTGTGTGTGTGTGTGTGCGCGCGCGCGCGCGCGCGCGTGCGTGTTGTGAAAAATGCAACTGGAAAAGAAATAGAAAACGAAAACACCAGGACACAGTCATCCGTACTATGGCTGGAGACCTGAGCATAATTTAGGATTGTAAATTATTTCCTTTTTCCTCACTTTATTTCTCTTCCTTTATGTTTCAGAATGTCTCCCGCGTCTCAATCGGTCCCACAATCCCGCCTTTCAATTTATGATGCACCAATCAGGAACTAAACCTGGTGGTTGCTAAGAGACCAGAGGAGGGAGATTTAGTGTCTTTGTCAAGGCACCCACCAAGGAAAATTCCTTGATCCTTTTGCACCCTCCAGCCTAGGATGTTTTAAGTCACCCCCCCCCCCCGACCCTCTGCTGCACTTCCCTCTCAATCCTTAAACCCAGAACATTATCCATAGACATGTTAGGGAAAAAGACAGTAGAGAGCATCTTTGAAAGCATGGAAAGACTTAAGTAGATTCAGAATGATTTGAAGTACCCACTAAAGTTTTCCTAGGTGGGCTTAAGGTGGGTTGCAGGGAGAAATCTGTGGTCTTTTCAGGTAGCGGGTGAAATTGTGGCTGGCAGGATGTGATGAGTCTTGCTTGCTGTCCATCTAATCACTATCAAGCTTTGTGAAGCAGGTCATGAAGACAACCTTTCCAAGTCGCAAGAAACAGACAGAGAAGCAGGCAAGTGTGGGGGAAAGATGTCCTAGGTTACTGGATGGACAAGAAAAGGAGAAAAAGACTAGTGTGAGATAAAGGCATCTTTTGAGAGCTGGGCTTTGAAAGGGAATCTTGGACAATTTGAGCCTCAAGATGGATTGGATCAGGGTGTCTCCCTTTCAGTTGCTTCACCATTTCTACCTTCATGATCTTTTTCTTCTATCACCACACACAGGAATGCTGGGTATAAACAGCATGGTGAATGAGCTTACCGAATAAGGATTTCTGCCCTCACACCCTGAATAGGTGCAGCAGTAAGTTAGGAAGAGGTTTGTGCACACACATGGCATGTGTACTGCAGATACTGACTGAGGTGTTAGCTCATGCATAGACACGTTTCACTGCATGCGTGCATCTATTGTAACATGAATGCTATGGGTCCTAACAGATTGAGAGACAGATGTATAGACACATTCACAGAAAAAGGAAGAGAGAGAGAGAGAGAGAGAGAGAGAGAGAGAGAGAGAGAGAGAAGGAGGAATAAGGGTCATGATGAAGAACAAACCTGCAAGAATACACACACACACACACTCACATTCAGTCAAGCACACATGCATTCACAGAGAGAGAGAGACAAGCATAAAGAGGAATCAAGGTCATGGTAACAGGAAAGAAACCTTCAAGTGTGCAAACATGCATGCAGAGAAGTGGAGAGGGGAAGGGAGGAAGGAGTGGAGAGGGAGGGAGAGGGAGGTAGTGAGGAGAGAGAGAGGTGGGAAGACTGGAGGAGGAGTCCAGGTCATGATGAAGAATTAACTTGTGAAAGACCTCCAAAGAAGCAACATTTTGCACTCTCTTGGGATATGCCCTAGACTAGGCTATGGTAACATTATTGGCTAATGTGACTGCAGCCCTAACAGGGTAGCTGTTCCCCAGTCTTCCCAATGTCCCTGAGCATGCTTCTTTCATTTCTTACCACCACTCTGACCTCCAAACAAAGCCAGAGAGGACAAAGAAGAGACGGCTTACCTGAATGGGTCAGACAGGGGAGCAGCACTATTGTTTTGGGCTTTCTCTCTGCCATTCACCTCTGCCCTCACCGCCACGCCCCTCCCTGGGTTTCTATGCCAATTCCACTTATTCTCTGAACTGGCTTCTCTTTCTTTTGCTTGCTAAGCCTTGCCTTCTTGTTTGGAGAGTTCCTCTTCTCCATTCATGCTATTGTTTCTCTTTTCTGTTCCCACAAGAAGACAGTAATCACTCACCTCAAGAGAACATCTGTATTTCCCGAGGATGTTTATCCTCCATCTCTTTGTTCCAGAACAACTCTAGAAACAGGAAAGTCAGACATGCTTTGCCCTCCCTTTCTCTCCATGGTCTTCCTCCTTCTCTTTAACTTCAAATGAAATAAGAAAACACCCGCTTCATAAAAGCAGTATAGATTTTAATTTAGGTTGACATGTGAGGAAAGAACTAGGATTTAATTGCAAAGGCATCCGTGTGAGAAGACTGTCTTACAGGGAGGGAGAGAGAAAGCAAGGATCTACGGGTGGTCTGGTGGCAGAACAGGGCCAGGAGCAAGGGTGTAGCCACACAGTGCAATACAGCCAGGGCTTCTGCCAGGTTCAGCATCACATCTAGAATCTGCTGGGATGGACACGATTGCAGAAGCACTATTTTGGACCTCACCAAGACATCAAATATAAGAACCATCCCATGAGGCCACCAAAAAATGAACCAGATCCACAGGACACTAACCCAGGGGCCTGGTCCCTTGCCCAATGCCTTCTTCATCCCCTTGGCTACCAAAAGAACCAGTGGTAACACAGTGAAGATGATAAAACAGATTGCAGAATGTGTGGACTTCAAAGCTTCCAGGTCCTTGTTGGATGCGAGGGTACAGAGGCCATTGTAAACGTCACTGGCCAAGGTGACCGGCAGCCCTAACAGGAGAGCTGCTCCCCAAAGTCCTACAGTGAGTCCCAAGGTGAGTCTTCGGATTTGGCCTATACCCAGTCTGGGGTTCAGGCAGGCATAGCACCCGATCAGCAGAGCCTGGGCAAAAGCTGAAGTATACCAGATCCAGTAGCCTAGGAAACACAGGCCTGTGTTGTGGGCAGTGTTTAACCCTGGTGCCAGGACAGGCACTGCAAAGCTGAAGAGGGCACTGCCTACTGCCAACTGTGCCAGAATAGGCCAGCTGGGGCAGATCTGCCAGTGGGAGAGAGGCTTGAGGATTGCGAAGAGGACGGCACCACTTGCCAGCACGCCCAGGACACTGGTGAGGATGAAGAAAGGCAGTGAAGAATTGTCAAGGAGATTACAGGAGTGGCACGGAGCAGCCGCTTCAATGTGGTAGTTGTCCATTAATTCGTCGGTGGTGTTATAATCATATGAATAATTCAAATATTCAAAAGCGAACTGAGTTCCGTTCTGGTCTAGTGAGAAGGAGGTTTCCACCTACAGGGCACACCCAGAAGGGACAGTCCATCAGGGAGGGCATCTAGAACATCAGTGAAGAGGCTGGGGTACACTTGGGTTTGGAGAACAGGGCATCTGTCTACAGGTGGATACAGCGGGCATGGTGGAAAGGGAAGCTGAGGAACCTGCATGGTCAGAGCCACAGAGAAGTCTTCTCAGAGCTCAGTAGAGACTTAGAAGAGCAGAAGGATGGAGGGAAATGAGGAGAAAGCTGCATAGGACTGGAGAGAGGGCAAGGAAGGTGGAGACAGGAAAGTGAGGTAAGGAAAGAAAGGGAAAATACTTTTGAAATGGAGAACAAGAAACGCAGGGATAAGGAATGGTCAAAATAGGGAAGAGCATAAAATCCAGAGAAGTAAGTAGAAGGAATGGGGCAACGGGACACAGGCAAGGGTTGTGGGGCATGGCCCCCACACTCACCGGGTGCAGACAGTTCCCCATGGCACTGCAGGCTCAGGGCAGGCAGACTACAGGACCAGGACTATGTCAGCAGCTGTGACTCCAAGATAAGTGCCTGGGGCTAATGAATACTCTCAGGATCCGGGCAGAGCCAAGACATGTGTGTGGGTCACACTCAGGAAGCTCTGCCCAAGGCCTATTGCTTATTTAAATCTTAGGCTAACACATGATACTGTCCCGGGACTTCCTGTTTTGAAGTTGGATTTGGCTGATCAGAATGGCTTTGGGAAAGTAACATGGTGAGAGCCACAAAGGGGTAATTTTCCCAAAGGTGATAAGGAAGGAGTCAGTAAGCTTTCCAGCAAGGGAGGATCCTTCAGGAACAAGGAAGGATGGGGGGCCAGGGGTGACATATGAAGCAGAGATAAGAGAGAGGTTCTGGGAAGTTGGAGTGACTGGGCATCTGATGACTCTCTCTGTTCTCTATTCCTTTGAATGAAATCCAAGGCAAGAGTTCAAAAGTTCCCGGGTTTGCAGGGAAAGTGTGCTGATGGCATTTGCTATTGGCTTCTTCTAGACTGAGAATATGCATTTAAATGGAGGCCTTTTGTTTGTGGTAGAGCAGCAGTGGAATGTACCTGCTTATCTGTTGTCCCTAGTTGGGTGTCCCTATCTGAGCGCTAGCTGTTGGGTGATGCCTGGGTGTGTGCTTTGCTATCTAGAGGTATGTGTACTTCAGCAGAAGAGGGATAGAAGGCTTGGAGGCCTGTCAAGGCTGTGTATTGACTCTCCTTCAGGGAGCAATTGGGCATTTGCCTTACCACCTATGGACTCAATGAATGCATCTCTCACAACAAGCAGAACACATGGTGTGACACATTGAAATAGGCTCCGAGGGACCAAGGGACAGCATACTTTAATGTAAGACTGTAGCCCACTGGATAATCTCTATTCATGTTGTTGTGAGACATACAGACTGTGAGAATGCTTCATTGGCTTATCAACTTAGCAATAAGTGAAGTTTCTGATGGGAGGTAGAATTGTTATTTCTCTGGCTAGGAGAAATACGGGATACATGTTTAGCCGGTGGATTCCCACTAATCACCTCAGACTGGAGTGCAGAAGGATGGGTACCCAGGTTAAATTTCATGTTGAACAGGAAGGAGCTAGAAAAGGGAGTTTGACAAAAAAAAAAAAAAACTAGTGAAGCTCTCTTTCCTAGATGGTGTTGGTGGGGTCTTTACCCTCATCATGGTGTTGGCCAACATTGCTGGGCAGGGGGTAACAGGGTAGCAGCGGGATGCCATGCTTCAAATCCAAATGTTCTCTGGAAAGCAAATGACTCAGACACTCTCTCCCTTGATTCCACACACAGATGCTCTGAGAGAGTGGCATAGCAAGGATGCTGTACCCTTTGAGGGCCAGGGGCCAGGGACATGAGGACAGCCCTTATTTACATGCAGCCCAGCCAGAGGTGAGAACAGCAGAAAGGAGGCAGCCTGACCACACGGATAATCCAGATATATTGAGGGAGGTCCCTCTGAGATTAGCACAGGAGAGTTAGAAAGATTATAAAGATACACGATCCCCTCTCTGCTCCCTTTCCCCGCCCCCGCCCCCACCCACAGACAGACACACACAGCACAACGGCCCTTCTCCCCCCCCGCCCGCCCGGTACAAATATGGCTTCTGTGTAATATGGACAGAGTGGTTCAGCTCAAAGTGGAAAAGTCGTTTTCCCAAAAGCGGGTGCTGGGAGATGAGGAGCCTGAACACGCCTGGGGCCCAGGGCTCCCTTGCTGCTATAAGAGGAGAATCCCTGGCGTAAGCGGGGGGGCTGCCTGGGATGCCCAGGACCCTAACCAGGTGCTGGAAGATTCACGAAAAGTATTACCTGAACTGAAGGAGTAGGCAGGCCTGCTGGGTTGCAGCTGCCCCATTTTGCACACCTGTTGTCAGAGCAGGGAGGACATGCTGGAGGAGGGGGAAAGTGATGCCAAGAGCATCTGGGTCTGAGGGACAGGCCAGCCAGGACGGAAAGGGTGAGCAATCTCATCTCCACAGCAACCAGCTTGGCCATGGAAGGAAGACAGTAAACCAAAAACTCTGATGGGGACCTAGTCCTCTAGTCACTGGGTACAGAGGATGGGAATCCAGAGTCAGTGCCAGGGAGAGACTTGAGGGGTGCATAGCAGAGGCTGTGGCCCTGGCTCCATGGCTCAGAGATGGGAGGTCCAGGGAAGGGTGGTGAATGTGTAGTGTTTCAGAGGGACAAAATACACAGCCGGGCAAAGCACATTCTGGAGCTCCCCCCTCAGATAGGCATCAAGAGTCGTTTGGAAATGACTAGCACGGGGCAGTCCCCCTAGATGAGGTACAAACCCTGACTAGAAGCCATCCACTCCCAAAGCCCATCTCGAGCCTCACATGTTCCGTGCCCTGTCTGTCACCCACTCAAGACCCCTGGTCCTTGTCTTCGATCCCTTTTCTTCTTGCTCACACAAACACACATGTACACACACCCATGCATACTTACACACACAAACACACACACGTGCACAGAGTTCACATTATTCCCTCGGTTTGGGCAGGAAACAGCTCACTGCAGCGAAGCTCCTTTTAGTAATTTTGTTGTCATGTCTGCCTGGCTGCTGAGGGAGGAGGGACTGAGGGATGGCGCGGGGAACAGGAGAGGGCACAGGGTGACACAGGGTGGAGGAGTAGTTGCTGAGCAATGCCATGAGAGGAGCGGTTGCCGTGCAACAGTCCAGGGTCTTGGGTAAGAGTGAGGGGCCCCTCCGAGGAGGGAGAAGCAGACGCTGTCCAGCCCAGAAGCAGTACTCTTCCACAACTGCTGGAGCTGGGAGAGAAAACCGAGCTCTGCAGACCCCCAAGGGCCGATTCTGTGAAAAGAGCCTGGCTTCATTCATCACGTGAGGGCAACGGATGGGCAGGGTCATGTCCTTCACCCCCTCTCTGGAAATCTACTCTCTCTCTCTGGGGGGGCATGTTGAAGCCCTGGATCCCTGTGGGGCTGCATGCCATCTTCAGTTCACATCTTCTGGAGGACTCTCTCCTACTCATCCCTTTCTTATGTAATGGAAGATGGGTGTCGTCCTGACACCTGTCTCCCTGTCTGTAGCTCACAATACATGGCTGGCAGAGGTAGAGCCACCACTATCCCCTGCTTCCAAACCCAGGGTCCCCGGAGACGCCTGGGAGTCTGACCCGCTGTGAAAATGGAAGGAGGGCTGTGTTAAGCCCCCACCTGCAAACCAGCCCTGCTCCTCCTTCATTTCTCATCCCTCCAACTTCCTTCTCCGAACATTGCAGATTTGCTGCTCTCCTCACCCCCATGGCTCCCGCCTCTCCAGCCTTGGAGACGGATTTGATTTGGGATTGTTACAAAAATAATAATAACCCAAACGCAGAGAAGCCACGGAAAGGGCTGAGGGCGACCCACCCCTCCCCCCCGCCCTCCTCCCCCCCATTCCAAACCGAGTACAAAACCGCACCCAAAGCAGACATTCTGTACAGGGGGCTGGGTGGGCTGGGGAGCAAGCGGGAGGGGCGGCCCTGGGGTCGCTCTGTACAAGTCCAGGTTGGTGACAGCCCAGCAGTCCCCATGGGGCCCCCGAGGGGCGCAGGAGGTGAGTGGGTGCCCCTAGATGAAATATTCCTTCTTGTCATCCCCGCCTGACTGCCCGCCTTCCGCGTTGATGATGGCCGTATCCGCATCTGGAGCGTCGTCGGAGCCCTTGGCTTCATGTGTCAGGTAGGTTCCTGTGTGGAGACAGAAGCTCCTCTGTTCAGAAGCTTCTCAGCCTCCGAAGGCCACCCTGCCCACTTTCCTCCACACCCACTCACACGTTGCTCATCTCGTCTCTCTCTTGCCTAGAGCTTTCTTCCACCCCACCTTCTCTAATTTGCATTTTGCTGCCAACATCCCTCACCTGACCACACCCCCATGAATAATGAATCCTACCCTTAACTAAAATCTCATTTATAATGTAGGCAAGGGATGAAAGAGGTGGTGTGTGTGTGTGTGTGTGTGTGTGTGTGTGTGTGTGTGTGTGTGTGTGCACATGTAGTGGAGCTATGACTTGGGCATGACCAGTCTAGGAAGTTAGGCTGCTGGCTGCATGTAACAACAGAATAGAAGAGAAAGTAAAACGAAGAGAAAAGATATGGATGAGGAAGGAGATCAAAGAAAGAAAGGGAAGCTGAACAGATGGAATAGAGGAGAAGAGGAAGAAGGAAGGGGCTAGAGACTGGTTTGCAGGGCCCAAAGGCAGAGCAGGAGGAGCAGCTGACTGAGTGGGCAGGTCTGATTGTACTTGGATATTTACCAAGTGATCAGGCTTGACTGTGGGGTTGCTGTTGCTCGGTGATCACAGCACTGGCATTGCAGGGGTTGGCTGTATGTCTTTCTCCGACAGCCTTAGGGGGTGAATGAGTCAACAGGGCCCTGTCTGAAGTTCTGTTGCTGTCTGTCCTTCCCTGACTGATCTCCCCACCCACCCAAGTCCTCTTGATGCCTCTGACCTTTGTGCCGGATCAAATAGTGTCCGAGGAAGATGAGCAGAATGAGCAACAGGAAGACAATGAAAGCCACAATCCCTCCGATGATGGCGTGGTAGGTACTGGAGGATGAGGGCACAGGACTGGGGTCTGCAAGGAGGACAGGCACACAGTGAGAACTGGGGAGGAGAGGACTTGCCACTCATGTGATGATTTGTCCCTGGATAATCTCACAGAATAGACGTCAACATCAGGAGAACCCAGGAGGTACATGTAAGCACAGGGGACATGCCTTAGTCTGTGCTCATGTGAGTATCACCACGATGGCAATGTAGTAATTGTTTAAGAAAATGGATTTATCTATCAGGCAATAAAACAGCTCTCACTCTACTATGCAAGTTGCTCTTTTGGTACCAAAGCTTGACCTTAGTGAGAGATAATTGCTTTAATGCCTATGACCATTATTGAAATTCTCCTTCTTCCTTCTTCTCCACCCCCATTTGCCCCCCCCACCGTCTCTCACACACACAGATACATTTATGTTTCCTTGTTCTTTGACTGTCTCCCATGTTTCTTTGTCACTTTTCCAGTCTTAAGATCAGATGGGGAAGAAACAGTGAAAATTGATGGATCTGAGGGCAGTTGGAAAGCACCTTACAAAGAAAATGCTAGACTGTGCCGCCCTGTATAAGACTTGTAAATTTCCCTAAAGAGCAAAGTTATAGTCTGAGAGGAATTAGAAAACCATCTACCTTATTTAGAATGAGCCCAGGACCTCATGCTACCCTAGCATCCTTATCCCAGCCTGGGCTATGACCTATACAACTTCCTTATCACAAAACATTTGACATCTCCACTCCCAGATGCTTCAATTCTTCTTTCTTGACCACCCTAGTGTAATGCTCTTTAAATACTCTGCTCTTTTTCTTTGGTAATTCTTTCTTGTCAAGGAAGATGAGTGATTCAGTAAAACCCAATCTTCTGACCCATCCAAGGAAGGAGGCCTAGGGTTTCCTCACTACTTTGATATAATCCAAAGGTTTTTGCACAAGACTGGTTTGATTTGTCTCTCCCACGATGGCTAGTGTTCCCTCCAATCACTATACAAAATTCACCATCCATAATAGGTGTGGACTGATTTCGTAGTGGAACCTGGACCAAGAATGTCAATACAAACGCTAACCTTGCTCAGAAACCCAAATGTCTGTGGACAAGTGCACACGCCGAGGACAGTTCTGATGTCTCTATACTAGTCCCGGCTATAACTCCCCTCCAGGGACTCAGCTCGAGTCCTGCAGCTTCATTAACTCCTGTACTTTTTTTCTTCCCTATCTTAGGTTTCCTCAGGTTTGACTGGGCCAGCTTTTCAGCTCCTTGACTTTCTATGCCTTGTTTGAAAAGGAAACATTTGTGCCTTTTTAAAAAATGGTCTTCTTGGAAAGGAGGTAGAGGATGGCCCCAGGAGTTCCATGATGGGACAGATGTGTTGACACGATTTAGGGGAAGATGAGTGAAATGGCCCACTGTGAAAAATCGATCCTGGATATTTACTCTGGAATCTGTAGATGTAAAAAGTTCTTGGAGAAACACAGTCTTCCACTGTCAAAATGACCTCTGGGATTCTCAATAACCACCCTCTGTCTCCTGGTGTAAGTACCTTTCATTTCATTCCTGGCAAGTCTTTCATTCCTGAAGAGGCTGCAGTAACTCCTTCCACCACCAGGCGTCAGCACTGGCAGCAAACACTAGTCAATCTAGGCCTCCTTAGCTTTCTATCCCAGGGCAGAAGGATCAACAGGATACCAACTGCCGGCACATAAACTTTCTTTCACTGTCAGCCAGCATCAGAAATGGTCTGGAGAGATCCAGGGGCTGAGCCTAGATTTCAGTGCCTTGTAGCTCTCAGAATCTTATTCTAGCCCTGGTGTTGTACCGAGGTGATCCCAGCAGTGAGAGGTTGACTCAGGACTCCTAACCACCAATGTAAACATTCTGGTCCCAAGCACTTAGGCCTCTTTCTCATCCCTGGGATCCTGGGTATTAGGCACCCCATTCTCTGCCTTACTGGGTATTTCAAATGAGGAAAGACCCCAAAGTTTCTCCAACACTTCCCCTATTCTGCTCCTAGGATTTCAATGCCATTGGTGTCTTAAAAACAAGAAAAAGATTTCCCCACCAGCTCCCTCTAAAGACACCTCTGTCCTAGCCTGTCATTTCCCTTGAAGTTGGGTTTAAATGTATATTGTGTGTGTGTATACATACATATGTATATATACATACATATGTACATGTGCAAATGTGCATGTGTGTGCTAATGTCCATAAATGTCTGTGTACTAACTGTAGAGGACAGAGAATTCCATCCACCTGACTCTTTGAGACAAAGTCATGGTCATCTCTCACTAGCCGAGAGCTCATCCAAGTAGGATAGACTATCTCTGTCTCCCCAGCACGGGGATTACAAATGTTAGCTACCACATCTCTTTCTGTTTTGCTCCAACTGGCTGATACTTTACTGACTAACCTAATATTCTAGGCGTCTGTTGGGTCCAATTTTTGAGAATTTCAGAAAGAGGAAATCTCTTGTTCCTTTGGAAGGTGAAGCACTGAAAAAGAGATCTGAACTATCTCTCGGCATAGTGCATGCTTGTTTCTTTTATTCTTTGCCAAACTATAATGCACACAGAGTCCTTAGGAAGGGGAACTGGTGGCAGCGGTGTACATGTCATATCTAGTCCTAGGAGGACGGCCCTCAAGAGAGGCCTCTAAATGAAGCTGATATTCTCCCCATCAGGTGACAGATGGTTCCAAAGGAGCCACTGCCTACAGGCAGAGACAGTGGGAACCCATCTTTCTATTGAATTACCATTGCTACACATTGCTAGGGCCGAAAGGCAGTGCTTTCCAGTAGTGAGCATTTTCCATCCACCCTACTGCTACTCAAGGGTAGGGGGGTTGCCATCGGAAAACCAAGAGATGGCCAAAGAATGGAGATGTTGGAGGAGAGAAGCCAAAGAGACTCACCATTGACATTGAGGGTGAAGTAGGCTGTGTAGCTGCCCATGTTGCTGGTGGCTGTACAGCCATAGGTGCCACTGTCACTCTTGTTCAGGAAGGGGAAGATGAGAGCACTCTCTTGGGTCATCTTCAGAGGTGGCTCGCTGCCTTCCTTCACCCACAGGTACTGCTGGGGGCTGTTGATAGAGCAAGATGGGAAGTGATCAGGAAGGCCTGGACCAAAGGCTAGAGGAATTAAAACCAGACTGGTAACAGGGAAGTGAGAAACTGCATGGTGTCTTTTAAGATGCTGTATGGGCCAGAGGGTGGGTGTTGGTGGGGGTGTGGAAGCATCAGTCTTGAGTACGATTTAGAGAAGGTAGAAGTGTTTTGATCCGTGTCTTACTGGACCTCACTTCCATTGCTTTGCAGTAAAAATAAAGGAGAGGTGCCGTTGTGGAGTTAGGGGAGTAGGAGGCATGTCCCCCCCCATGGGTACCCAGGGTATGGGGGCTATCTGAGTGTAGAAGACTCTTCTTACACTGGATTGCCACGCCCCTCACAATGTAACAACAGCTTCTGGCCTTCCCGGGGATGTGCAGGCTCTGGTCTAATCAAGGCTGTCGGAGTGTCTGTGGAGAAGTACAGGATGTCAGCGCCAAACTCCCCACTCTGCAAAGGAGATCCCTAGAACCTTGCAATCACCTAGTTACGTGCTACAGAGTCTATCTCCTGAAGTCCCAGAAGTCTGAGACCCTGTGAACAAGCCCTTCTTCCTCCCAGCTCTTGTGGACACGGACTGTGAGTGTCACTGGCGGAGAGCAACCTGGTGTATCTCAACCTCTGAGTGATGGCATTCCAGCAGGCCTGTCCTTGGGGAGACCTATGGAATGTCTTAGCAGAGCTGAGGAGAACCCATGGTTTATTCATGCCTAGCAAACTGCCTGGCACATAGACAGTACCTAATACACATTTTTAAAGGAACAAAGAAAGTGAACTTGACACTGAGTCCACAACCTCTCAATTCTGGCTGCTCTGTGAGCAAGCCGAGGAGTGAAAGCGATGCATGAACACAAAACCTCCCTTAGAACGGTCAGTCCAAACGTAGAATGAGTATAGAAACAGCAAAGGGTGGGGAGCAGATTTTGGCTGGGAAAAAAAGAGACCTGAGACAATATGGATGGCTCTGTGAGGGAATAGTGACATCTGTCATTGATGCCAAAAGGCTGTTTAGGAGGCTGGGTCCAGATGGCGGCTTAGAACAATGTGACCAGATGCTGGTTTGGAACCACAGATAAAGAGGAAGCACTACCCCTAAGGACAGAGCCAACCGTAACAAGCAGTTAATGAACATGCTTCCGTTGAATCATACAGGACAAAGAGAGGTAGGTCAGGTGAGAAAATGGGTGTTCCAGGGCTTCACAGCTAAAGAGATCCCTAGCAGAGCACCTGGAATGGTGCATTTGTGGACTGACTGCTGATTACAGGCCAAAGGGGACCCAGCAGAGTAATAGCCAAATGACCTCGTAGCTAAGAGAGGACTCTGTGGGACTCCAGTAGCATAGAGTATTCTTCAGTTATGCCTGGGGACCAGGGCTCAAGAGAACTGCCCAAGGCTCAAGTGCCTTACACTTGGAACTAGTAAATACAGAAATACTTTATAGCAATTTAGAATTTGGAAGTTTGTAGTAAATACAGAAATACTTTATAGCAATTTAGAATTTGGAAGTTTGTAGTAAATACAGAAATACTTTATAGCAATTTAGAATTTGGAAGTTTGTAGTAAATACAGAAATACTTTATAGCAATTTAGAATTTGGAAGTTTGTAGAGGTCATTCAGGTATACTATTGCATTTATCTTCTGTATAATTCAGGGTAGTAAGCTGTATTCAAAGAGAGATGAAATGCTTTGGTCAAGGCAATACAGCTAACAAGAAAATACTAATCAGTACTGGCTAGGAAGCTACTCATCAGCCTGCCCGTTAAGTGTCATCCAAATGGACTATGGTAGTGTCCAAAATTAAACAATGTTAAACTTTGAATAAAAGGTCTCGCCACTGATGAGATGGTACCAAAGTTAGAAAACTAATCAGCTTGTGTCTTCCATAAGGAGATTAAAAGCTCTAGCTATTTTTGAAAATGTCCCAATCTTTCGGTAAATTAGAAAAAAAAACCACATTGTTGTATATACCTCCATACTCAGCTTCCACACTTCAATTATTCCTTTTTTTTCCATGCAGCAAAGATCCTTTGAAACGTTTTTAGATTTCCTCAGATGAGAAATTTGCAAATATTTCAGCTTTTTCAGACATTCCCTACTGGTACTAAAGGCAGAGTCCATGAAGATGAAGAGGTGTAGAGAAAGTATGAAGAGAAAGTTGTCAGCAATACTGACAACTGGGACCTCACATCAGAACCCCAAGGAGAAGTGTGGGACTGGGGCGACTAGAGAAATGACTGGGAAGTAAAAGTCCTTGGACTTTCCGACACCAGGGAGAACTGCGCTTCTCTTCCACCCACACCTCTTGGTGTCACAGAATGTTAGAGTGAGAAGAGGCCATGATGACAGCCATGACCACCTCTCATTACACAAATAAACAAGGACGATCAGTGGGGGAGAGCTGTCTTCACACCACACAAGCAGCATGTAGTGGAGTACAGACTAGTAACCACATCCCAAGACTCTGGGTCTGTTACACTTACCACTGTCAGTTACAGTCTAGTTCCATTTCGCCAGTGTAGCCCAAGGGCTGGTAAACTCTGCCCATGGGCCAAATTTTGCCAGCTGCAAGCTTTTGTAAATAAAGTTTTATTGGAAGGTAGCCCAACTCATTTGTTTACGCTCTGTCTGTGGCTGCTGCACAGCACAAGCAGTATCAACTCACTGAGTCAAAGACCTCAACTCTCCGAGCCTGCGGTGTTTACTACAGAGCCTGTTTGTCGGGAGCCTTGCCACTGTCACTGTTCGTGTTGCCTCACGTGCAGCCAGCAGCTCTTTTCTTTTCCTCACTCCCTACCTCACACCCGGTCCTTCTCACCCCAAAGCCCATGACATACATAAAACCTCAATGCGCTGAGAGGTGGATCTGTCAGCTCCCTTTAGAGATTCATGGTTCACAGAGCACACGATGCTTGCTCCATCATCCTCCCGGGTAACCTGGAATGACACTGAGCTGCTCACAGTGAAGGTCTTTCCGTTGGGATCTTCCTGGACTCGTGTTTGGTCTCCTGAAATGCAGAAACAGACAGACAGACAGACAGACAGACAGACAGACAGACAGACAGACAGACAGACACACACACACACACAAGACACACAGTCAGTATATATAGACAGCCTGTATATTAACATATAGATACTATCTAGGCCTCACAGATTCTGAGTCTATCTTGAACAAAGAAAATGTCTGAAATGGATGTGAATGTATAAATAGAATGTAGACCCTGACACACACACACATGTCTACAATGCATCTGCCGTTCACTTTCTTCATCTCCACTTTTTCTTACGTGCCATGTGTAGACATATCTCTCATACCCGCTTCCCTGCACCACCTCATCCCTGTAAACCCGGTGGGAGCTACTCACCGTGGAGCTCTTTGTCACCTTTCCTCCAGGTGAGCTGGGCTGCAGGTTTGCTCCCAGAAGACTGACAGTTTAGAGTGGCTGTCTCCTTTTCCCGCAAGGATGACTTATAACCAGTGATTATGGGTTTCTGTGGGATTCCTGCCATGGAGAGGGGAATGACCAGGATAGGAAGGAGAGGCACCATGAAGTCACACTACAATCTCTCCCTGAAGATATGGCCTCTATAAGGGGCAGGATATCTGAGCTCTACTTTGGTTTACAAAGATGGGTGGAAGCATAGAGTCAAGGTTCTTGGATCTACTTCCTGAGGACAAGATGGGAAGACTAAGGGGGGGGGGAGTGTGAGAGTGTAGGAGAAGTGGGGGTGTGGTGCCTAAACCCTGATAGTGATTGGATACTCCAGAGTCCAGCTAGGTGGCCATACACATAGTGGAAGGCTCAGGGGAGTCGAGATGGGAATTAGAATACAGGGTGAAGATAATTATATTCAAGCAACTGAAGAACTCTTAGAAATTAGGATTAGATATTTTATAAAGATCTTGTGTTTCCACATATAATTTCTGGAGTGAAGTGAAATGACCATTCTTTGCTATAAATCATGAAGTTTATGCTTAAAGAGATTTGCTGCAGATCAAATAGTAAGTACAGCAGATCAGAACTCCGTTTTCCTTGTATTTAAAGGGAAATGTGCAGAACTTTTCTGATATTATTGGAGGATTGCCTGGTTCTGGGATGCTTTGGGGACCAACTGAGGGAGATTTGTTTGCAAAGCAGCATGCTGTGGAGACACAGGGGTTTGGGAGCCTCACCGAGCACAGTGACAAGGGACTTGGCGGTTCGCACAGGCATAGTGAAGATGGAGCATGTGTACTCGCCCTCGTCTGCCAGCGCCACGTTGCTGATGCTGATACTGAGCTCGTGGGGAGTGGAGCTAACCAGCTGAATCCGATTATCTCGAAGGGCTGGGGAAATCAGAATTGAGAGTCAGGATGCTACAAGTACCTTGCATATTCACCTTCCATTCCTGGGCTACCATCATTGAGGGGACAGAATGAGCATAGTGGTGTGGGTGGAGGGCAAATAAATAAATAAATAAATACTACCAAATTAGGACAGAATCATTCAGTGACTTTCATGGGTCACTGCACATAGTATCTTAATAGGCCAGTATTACAGTCTGCATCCTGTGTAATTACTTAGGGAATGCCCGGGGCCACCTGATATCAGTTCTCATAAGGGTTTCTTTGGGGTGACAGCATTCCAGGACCTTATAAGATTTTTAGACTATGCATAGCTAAGGTCAAAGCTGTCGTGCTGATTCTTCTCTGTATACAACCTAGGAGTCCATAGTTTATTGTTTTTTCCAGTACCATACCTTGTGTTGCTCAGGCTCTGGACTACAAAGACAATTCCCCTCAGCCTCTGCTGTCCCTTTCTCCTAGCCCATGATTCCCATGAAGAAAGGTCACTCATGAGGTAATACCTCTCTTCTCCCCAAAGTACAGAGTCTGCTGGGCAGGGTTAGACCACTGCAGGGACGAGTCCTCATGGTCTTTCACTTGGCACTTGAGCACCACGGTGCCACCAGCCACCACTGTTTCATCAGATGTCCAGGGCTGGCTATCTGCAGGGATAGAGGACATTTAGCTTCATGAGGAGCCCTGAGGATGTCTACCCATTACTGGGCCACAGTTCACCTCATCTAATTCAAGCTACCCAAGGCTCTGGTCTCTGTATACTCTTGAGGCTTCATGAGTGAAGGGATAGAGAGGTGGTTGTGGCAGTAGACACAGGAGACAGACCTGACCTTCTCTCACTTTGGATGCACAGAAAGTATCATCACTTGTTGAAAGTTGGATGAACAGACAGGGTCACAAACACTAAAATAATAAAGGCACCCAGATCTCAACATACTACTCTACATGTGTCTTTTTAGGTATGGTTCTACCATTCATCATTGGGAACACACATACATATCTGGCATCCCATGTTTTGCCTTCCTGTCACCACCTATTGTGGGGCAAAACCATTAGAAACAATTATAACTGATAATCAAAAACTGAAATGGGGGAAAAGTCTAAACCAGTTCTTGGTGTGTACATTCATCTATATAAGAAAACCAAACAAAAAATAGAAATTAAAAACAGAAACCTCAATACAACCATCAAATCCATCACTGGATTTTACTATTATTATTAGTTGTTGCAGCTGCTGTTGAGACAAGGTCTTACTATGCAGTCCTGGCTGGCCTGGTACTATGTATTCAAAATGGTATTAAATTTACCAAAGTCCTTCTGCCCCTGCTTTCTAAATGTTGGGATTATAGACATGTACAACCACATCCAACTATTTCTTCTCTTTCCTGGTAAGTCTTCCTGTCTCCCCAAATATAAACCCAATTCACTACCCTGATGTCATTTAAAGAGTAGAAGACTGAAGTTTTCTCCTCAGTGTGCTGAAGGCATATTTTCTAACTCCATGGAGAAATCAAACAAAACACAAGCTCCTTGCCTAGCATTCAGGAAGCCCTAGACTGTATCCCCAGCACCACAATGACTGGTTGTGATGGAATACATAAGTTATCCCGTTACTCAGGAAGTAGAGACAGATGGAGAAAAAGTTGTAAGTTGTCCTTGGCTATATACTGAGTTTGAGGCCAACTTGGACTGCATACACCCTGTATCAAAAATAAGACACACATACTACACACACACACACACACACACACACACACATACACACACACATGTGCACAGGCACACGCAGAAAGAGAGAGAGAGGAAAAAGGATGGAAGGAAAAAGGAAGGAAGGAAGGGAGGAAGAGGGAGGTAGAAATCCAGATATCTTTTGGATAAATCCATTGAAAGCCCAATGAACCTGCTCCTCAGGCCTAGCTGTAAACCTCTCCAATGCTGACATCTGTTTGCCACACCAGGCATTGGACTAAGTTCCCACAGCATGGATTCTGATTCCTAATATTGATTGCCTCATCTTCAGAATCGCTTTTAGTGACCCAACAGCAGTGACCTCCTCAGAACTAATCTAAAATAATCATCTCCCTTCTCTGCTTCAGGAACATCTAAAAATCTGCTTTATGTCACAGAATTCTTCAACCAGCAATATGCGTGGCTCATCAGGAAACATGCTTACCACACTCTCCCCAGAGCACTGTAAATACAATCAGATGCTCCCTTCGACACAGACTGGCCCCCACCTGCCTGTTTCTCTCTTACTTTTCCAGTCACCTGACTTGCATCACCCTGAGTGATCTTAGCACAGAGAAGGTCCTAAGGAGGGAAGGCAGGCGGGAAGTTATGCCAAGCAAGACACACCATTAAGGACTGATAGTTTCTGAACTGGAGTACGAAGCCTGATGGTTAGTACTGACTGGGGTTGTAAAAGCTGGAATTGAGGGAGCTCAGTGACACCAGGAAGCCAAAATTCCCTCATCTCATAGGCACAGGCAGTAAGGCAACAGAGGTGAAGGGACTCCCAAGATCAGTCCACTAGTTCTCAGCATTGTAACTCTGTTCTATCCTCAACACAGAGCTGTTGTCATTGGAGTTCCTCCTAAAGTGATCCTGTGAAAGGAGACTTAAGACTATGATTGGATTTGGAGATTATTGTGTGGCTGCTGAGTAAATTTGGAAGTGAAATTTTCTCAGAATGTCTCAATGGAAGGTGTCTGAGGCCCTTCATTTGCAATAGACACATATTGATTTCTAACCTCTAATCCCTCTGTCCTTGTCTCCCTTGAAGAACTAATCTTTGACAATGCCTCCACAGGACCTCTTTGTTTGCTCTGGAGGCTTCTTATTTTTGGAAAGAGGTGTAGGGTTGCAGAGGTCTTTGCATCAGAGTGAGGGAGGGAGTTGGTGCATGGGAATGTGGTGGTGGTGGTGCAAAATTAAGAACTAGATGCCAAATGGGAAGGAAAGCCGTGTGGCGATGAGTGGAGTGAGGATGTGGGGCGGAGCACCACGGGTGGGAGGTGACAGTGAGGATGAGTGAGATGTCTGAACAACATTGAGATGAAGGGCCTGGTATCTCACCTTGACTGGCCAGCATGTCAGGGCTGCTCCAGACTGTGGAGCTGAGGGCCTCGTCCAGTGGAGCCAGAGTTCCCAGCTCCAAATCCTGCTCCTGCCAGTAGCCTGGGGAGAGAACCTGCATCAAGGATGAACCCTGTGCACACTACTATAGCTTGTGTCTACACTTCCATTGTGGGTGTGTGGGAGGGGCTAGGCTTCACCAACATACCTAAGAGAAAGTGAGACATTAGCAAGAGTTCTGAAAAAGGACAAGTCTCTCCTCTGATAGGCCATTTAAAGGTGGATGATAACATTTTCATCTATCAATCACATAGCTTTGGAGTCAGAGAACTTGGAGGCCATTCAGCCCAGTTTTCCCACTTCACAAATGAGGACAAAGAAGTCCCCAAAAGACTGAGAGGGGTTACTACTGAAAAATGGAAAACTGAAAACAAAACAAAGCACTATACACTCTATATCCAGGATTCTTTTTGTTGTACCATATTGTCTATTAACACAGCATCAGCCTTAAACATTAGAGCATATTTTCACATTTGATCCTTTCCCTTAACCTATAAAAAGTGCTGGCACCGCCATTCCTGTTTTGACGAGTGTAAGCAGACTTGCCCAGAGTCTTGCAAATTGTGGAGAGACTAGAAATGAAATGCCTGGTTTCAAATCCCGTGGTCTTTGTTCCAAGGTGAGACATCCTCCTCACTCAAGAAAGACCGAAGTTGGGGCTAGAAGTTGTACTACAGCTTCCGAAGTCTCACCTTCCGGTGCTCAGATTCTAAGTCTTCGTACTAGGTTCCCAGGGTTCTGCCTCACTGAGTCTGCACCTTACTTTGACGCAAGTAAACCTTGTTACCCGGGCAATCGTCACCACCTCTCTTAGGACTACATCGCTGTTATACTCTCTTGTGAACTACAGTGGTGTCTGAGGTTCAGGGCTCCAACCCGAACAGAATGAGCAGAGGGACAAAGAAATCGGCTAAGCACCTTTTCAAGATCTCCCGCCACGGAGCCCTAGAGTGGCCAATCACATCGCAAATATCCAGTGAGCTCATCAGCTGCTGAGCAGACACTGGAGCTGCTTCTCTTCCTGGGACAGCAGTACCGAGAGAAGTTTGTCAATCCTCCCGACGGGAGCCACCGCCTGGGGGGGGAGGATAAGAGGGTGGAGGTGGGGCTAAGACAGGGCAGGTGGGTGGGTCAAAACTGAAAAAAAAAATGCGCTATGGACTTCTCCGGAGAAGAAAGGAGACAGGAGTAGGGAGAGAAAGGGTTAATCAGAAGAAAAAGAAAGCAAGTCGGTGAGCAGAGAAGAGAGAGAAGAAGAGGGTGAGGAAGGAAGGAAGAAAGAGGGGAGGGGGGAAGGAGGAAGGGAGGGTCCTAGCATCAGATAAAGCTCTAGAAGAGAGCTTCTGGGGTTGGCTGGCCGCAGTGTAAACAGTTCCCCTTCCCACTGCTCCTGCCCTGGGTCTCCCAGAAGACTTTCGAATTTACTTTGTTCTGAGTGAGAGATGAGGCACATCTCTAATAGGAAAAGGAGTGGGAGAGGGGCAGAAGAAGACTTGATGAAGAGAGGCCAGGATGAGAGAAAAAGGAGGGCAGGACTCTCGATTTCAGGAGAGACAGACAGTCCTGGGTGCAGAGCCCTCCTCCTGGGGGCGCTTTGTGTGGACACCACGATGGAGACCACTGGACATCGGTGAGTATTTCATGTTATTTTTCAGGTTATACATTTTGGGGTGCGCTGTGTCAACATCAAGCAGAGAACAGGATTGGTTTGTACTAAGGCATGGGGTGCTTGAGGGACAGGGAGGAGCAGGGTAAGCGGTCTATGGTCCCTCATAGGGCATTGGTAACCCAGCACACAATCTAAGAGCCACACTACACAGGCTTTCACTCAGATGGATTGACAAAACAGCCTTGTGTGGGACTTTCAGTTTGCAGAGTGGATTTTCACCCACGATTTCATTTAATCTCGAAACAATTGCTATTGGTAGGCAGCCAGATATGATCACTTTTAAAGTTGACATCCAAAGAGGTTCCTTGGCTCACCTAAAGGAACAACAAAGAGCACAATTCTCAAGAACCCTTTCTACCCTTTGTGGGGTTCTCAGCTTACAATGGCACGTTTACCAGAACATATGCACACTGTACTGTGATGTGTTTGGTTACCAGGGTCTGCGTCTAAACTCTGAGCTGGTTAAGGGCAGAAAAGTTAACCGTTTTCACCTACGTTTGTTTCTTTAACACTTCCATCCTAGTGAGTTCTAGGTGCATGTGACTAGCCTGGTGATTTGCCCCTGGGTACCAGGCTGTCTGCAATGCTAGCCAGGCGCGGCCAGCTTCTGGTCTCCACTCTTCTGCTTCTTACACCTGTGCTTTTGTCTGGATCTTCCTCAGTGACTTCCCTCCTTGCTCATCCTTGTCTGGCATCTCCCCATTCCCACTTCTGCATGTTGCTTTTTTTTCTGCATAGGATAAATAAGTAAAATGGTGATGTACATCATTTAAACACAGCCGAACTGTTCAGAGACAGAAAGCAACAAATAACCTTCAATAAATGACGTGTTTGGGATGTGCATGATTTATTGCCTCTGTACATTTGCAGAGAATTCACTTTGGTTTGTAGTATTTTAGGAAACCGCTTAAGATGCGACTGGGGCATTGCTTTCCCTTCTATGGGGTATGTATGACATATCTCCTAATCCTGAAATGTCCTTATGATCTTATATCTCTAGTCTTGGGGATTCCATTAATATGTCTGAAAGTTACCCAATTTTATGAAATTGTTGGTTGCTAGTCATACTTTCTGAATGCCATTCCTACAGGAGCAGGTGAGTGATTGTAATGCTATCATCAGGAGCATGGATAAGTAGCACAAATTATAAGCCGCTTTATGAAAAGCTTGAGCTATCTTTGGATTAAAATTGTGCCAGTCATTTATGACATCACCATGATTTCCCTCAAAATGTTTGGACAGAAAAGGGAAGAAACTGAGGAGTATTCTAAAGGGGACATAAGGACTTGCAAGTGGATTAGTAAGGATTCTATGCATGGACCTTGGAAGAAGGTGCTGGCACCCAGCCACTGGTGAAGAACACCCTTCCTACTAGGGGAGAGCCATGAAGGAAAGATCCAGTCTTGACCATATGAGTTGGGAGTGTCAGTCTTACTAGTCATATTGTTATCTGTTTGCACACCTTCTCTGACTTTGCATTTTGTTCTCTCTCTCTTTCTCTTTGTCTCTCTGTATGTGTGAGTGTGTGAGACAGAGACAGAGAGAGACAGAGAGAGAGAGAGAGAGAGAGAGAGAGAGAGAGAGAGAGAGAGAGGGAGGGAGGGAGGGAGGGAGGGAGGGAGGGAGGGAGTTGTATGTGCGTTTGTGGGTTCATGAGTATGTTCCTAAATGTACATTCAGCTGTGCGCTTTCTTCACTCATTCTCCAGCTTATATGTTAAAAATTAATTTGGGGGGGGACATACCATAGTGTCTGTGTCGAAGCTGGAGGAGTACCCATAGGAGTCAACTACCTTGTTCCACCATAGGGGTCATGGAATTGAACTCGGATTGTCAGTCTTGGCAGTAAGCTTATTTGCCAACTTTACCAACTTACTTGCTCTTTACCTGTTTTTTCTATAAAGGTGTGCACCTGCCACCCCAAGCCACTGGTGCCGGGTGTCCAAATGCATATCACTTTGTCAGGCTTTTTCCATGAGTGCTGGAAGTCTGAATTCAGGTCCATAGCAAGTACTTTTTATCCAGTCATATGCCCACCTGACTTTACATTTTCTGTAGATGATACCCAGATTGGTTAGTCTTGCCTTCCAGGTTCTGTACAGTCTGATGTCAACCCACCTGTAAACTTTGTCTTTTCTCCATTTCATTAATCCCACATTCTAGACATAGGAGCTCTTTAGAATTCCATTTAGAACATTTGCCATCCTGGGTCCATTCCTTTTTCTATAATAATTTGGTTCTAAAGCTGTTCTCCCATCTTCACAGGTCTTAACTCTAGCCTTTAAGCCTACTTTGTGTAGCTCTCCTTTCAAGAATGCTTCCTTGGTGGCCTATTTGGGAATTCTTCCCCATATCTCTGAGTTTCATTGCTTTCCCTTCCTTCCTTACGCGATTCAGTGCCTTTGACCTTGCACTGCAAATTGGGTTTCTTCCTAAATCATAAATATCCTACAAGAACAGTTGATTCATCTTAGTATCAATACTGACCGTAACATAGCATATCGCACAGAGAAGGTGCTCAATAAATATTTAATTTATTAAATGAATCAGATGCTGAGTATCTTCTGATATGAGAACAGAGCTCAAAATCTGTTACTGCAGAGAAAATACCAAATCCAAAAGCACAGAAAGAAGTAGACTAAGAAAAGCATGGAGTGCCAAGGCATGAACATCCAGGTATCTACAAGACAGGACTTGATATGAAAAAAATAACAACAGCCCCCCCAAAGAACCCAGTTTTAATCTCAGGATTTAAGTTTAAAGAGGTTGATAGGCACAAGTCCAGGCAACTAGGGAATTATGTGATGCATCTAGTAAGGGTGAGGATGTGACAAGCTTTAATCGTAGGTCTTTCTAGCTATGAAGCCCTAACTTTCTGCCTCTTCCCACCGGCCTCAGGAGGCAGAAGCAGGTGTTTTGTGTGTGTGGTGGTGGGTTATAGATAGGTGAGGGAAGACTTTCTTTCTTACATTTCTGGCCAGGGATGGCTTGCCTAAACGACATTCACAACGCTCACCTGCAGAATGATAAAAATCAAAGAGTAGCAGGCTAGAGCAGGTGCTTGTGGTGATGGTGGTGTTGTGATTGGCATCCAGTGAGTTATGCTTTTAACTGGATTTTATAATGTGCCTTCACTCCGTACTTTGGGATCTATTTTGTCTACCCCTAATTGTCATACAATGTGGGACTCTTTGGTTAATCAAACAACAGATGTGTTTATTTAAAACTTTTGATAAAAATCTCTTTGTTTTCATCACTTTCTAGCACCTATGCTAGAAACCTTTTTAATGAAAAGGTTATCGCATGGCTCTCAATCATTTTGAGTGCTTCTTAGTTCTTGCTTTATTTACCCATGGGTTCTGATAGACTTAGAC